GTGTCGGCAGGGCTGCATTCCTTCTGAAGGCTCTAGGGGAGAGTCTGTTTCCTTGCCGATTCCAGCTTCTAGAGGCTGCTGGCACTGCTTGGGTCCTGGCCCCTTCCTCCATCTTCAAAGCCAGCAGCATCGCATCTTCTCTCCTCTCTGATCACTGCTTTGGTCCTTACATCTTGATCTGTCTGACCCGCCTGCCTCCTTCTTATTAGGACCCTTGTGATAAAATTGGGCCAACCTGGTTAATCCAGGATATCCTCTCCCTTTCAAGTTCCTTAATTTAATCACATCTGCAAAGTCCTTTTGCCTGGCAGAGCAGCAGCTGGTGACCTCCAGTTCTCCAGGGCAGAGGGATGACCTTGGCGTCAGTGTGCAGGAGGCCACTATGTCCTTGTTGATGAGATCATGACACTGAAGATGGCACAGCAGGGCAGGAATGCCTTGTTTGATTTCAGTCTGAGTCGGATGGAGTGGGGTCTTGGGGAGGGGTCTTAAGTGCTTCCAGGAAGCCAGAAAGGTCACTTTATATCTCTGGAAGGCCCAGTCTATTGAGTATTTGGGACAGAACCAAAGGGAGGAGGTAGCCATCTGAAAAGGACGACGCTTGTTTGGGGACAGTCACTCATTCTCTTGTTCATTCCACACACATTTCCTGAGCACCTGTGTGCCAGGCACAGGGCAGGAGTTGAGGGGACCCAGATAAATAAGAAACCACCAGGTGGGTGTTCACCTGCTTGGGGAAGAGTGACGTGGGAACAAAGCCGTGATAGCTCTGGTAGTTGAAAGAAGAAAGTGATAAAATGTGTACAGGACAGTTAGCTTGGTGGGGGAGGGTGGCATTGAGCAAAGACTCCAGGAAGAACACCCTGGAGGTGGGGTGGTGAGGGTGTAGGTGGTCAGAACAGCATTTGCAGGAGCGAGGAGAAAGGGAGCAGTGCATTGTATGTGAGGAGCAGGAGGAAATGCTGTCTGGATGGCTGTAAAGTGAGGAGTGGTCACCTGGAGGGGGCGCGGCCAGAGGTGGGATCTGTCTGCCCTGTCTCCAGTTTAGTGATAAATTCCAAGAAGGCCTTCAGCACGATTATTGCTCACTCTGTGGACCCCCATGAAAAGTGTGTATTGATGAGAAGCCTTTCCCAGTAGCCAAAGTCTCCCACGCCTGCTTCATCTCGCTGAATATTACTAGATAATGGGGCACATGAGTCCCTTTCATGGTGTCTGGCCTTGTGTCTGATGAGATGGACACTCAAATCTGAGCCTGGTTTGTTCTTCTGGGGGATTGCTGGAGTGAGTCCATTTCAACCCCATTGTTGTGTTTCTCTGGGTTTGGGCTTGGGAGGGTGTTGAGTTGAAGCGAGTGAGAGTATACGGATGACGGAGATGCACTGACCTCCTCCCTGAGCCTGGGATATGTGCTACCTCCTTCCGCCTGAGATGCAGCTCGGACGGGGTGAGTCACTGTGAGGGCAGTGTGACCCAGTGTGCTCACAGCAAGGAAAGAAGACAGACAGACACTTACTCGGTGTCATTTATTCTTCTTCCCAAAACCACACTTCCCTGCCATTGATGCCACCATTCAAATGAATGTTCTAATTTACAGTTTCTGGGAACTTTTGGAAAAATGGATCAAAACCCTAGGTTACCTGAGATGCTGCAGTTACATGTTTTAAAGGCTCTAAAAATTATATTTTGTCAAAATGAAATAGAATTTTGAAAGGCTTCATAATAGTTGTGAAAAACAACCTGCCTCTTCAGATACACTCATACAAGGCTGCTCTTGTGAATAGCTCAGCGCACTCTGCAATAATATCTCATTAAACCCTCCAGCCTCCCAGGGAAGAAGCGAGCAGCGGCGGCTGGCAGACTGCTTTCTTCTCACACAGTAGGGGGTGCCTGCTGCCTCAGAGGAAGCCTGGAGAAACCACAGCCCGCCTAGGTGGAGAGTGTTTTATCTTCACGCCGGGGCTCAGCATACATCCAGAATGACTTCTCTACATTCGGTGGTGTGTTAGGCCCTCCCACTGCCAGGACACAGGTCCACTCTGCAGCCGGCCAGTGCCCTTTTCAGTCTTCACCGAGCCCTCCTCCGGGCCAGGGTCTGTGCTTGGAGCTGAGATCCAGAGACAAGAAGACACCTCTCCTGCTCTTAAAGGGCTTACTGTCAGGTGGGAGGAAAGACACCAGAGCAGGTTTTTCCAATTGCATGTGGTATGTGATTTAGTGAAGGTAGGTCAGAGATCAGGTAACCCAAGCTAGGTGTCAGAAAAGCCGTCTTGGCAGCGCTCTGTACTGTCAGCTCCTGGACAGTTGTATCTGCAACTGTGTGGCAGACACTATGGATTAGCTAATCCTGTTCCTAACCCCCTTTCCCTTGCTGCTTCCCGCTGGAGAGGCTGCAAAGCTAAATATTTGCTTTTCTTGCCTCTCTTCTAGCTAAAATGGCCATGTGACCTAGTTCTGGCCAATGAGACAGAAGCAAAATCTATAGGAGGAGTTCTGAAAGAGCTTTTGTGTTCTTGAGTAAGAAGGACGCCAGTCTATTATAGCTGCTTGCTCCTTCTTGGCCTAATTGTAGTCATGATGGCTGTAGCTACAGCAGCAATCTTGTGACTGTGAGGGAAAAGCTGAGAGAATTGTAGGTCATTGTTGAGCCAGTGATCCAACACTAGCAGCTGCCTACTTCTAGACTTTTTGTCATGTGAGAAACAAATAACCTCCATTTGTTTAACCCACTGAGGTTAGGCTTCTGGGACTTGCAGTCAAATGCATCCCTAACTGATACAGGCACCTAGCAGGCAGTCAAGAAATAGTGATTGATGTCATAAATAATGTGATCACCTGAGATGAGTCGTAATAGATTGGGGTGTGCTGGGGCTATTCCAGTTAGAGGAAACCAAAATAGCATGTCCAGAAGCTTGAAGCAGGAAACCATGAGGAGCTCACAAAGAAACCACTGACAAGTAGTTCGTTGTTGCTACAGTATCAAGTATGAGGGAGGCAGTGGTTGGATATAAGTCTGGAGGAGCAGACAACAGGGGCCAGATTAAAATAGTTTCCTTAGATACAAAGAGGGTCCCAGGCTCCAGTGACTGACAACTCTCCATGTCACCCCTGGAACTGCAGAATTACAGTCAAGGCCACCATAACAAGAGGAGTAAGAAAGGAAGATAATGCATTCCTCCTGTTGGTCAGTGTATAAGTTATCTGCTGCTGCATTACAAATTACCCCAAAACCTAGCAGCTTAAAGAAACCCACATTTATTATCTCACAGTTTCTGTGGGTCAGAATCTAGATGTGGCTAGATTCTGCTCAGAGTTGCTTATAAGGCTGCAATCAAGGTGTTCACAGGGCTGCAGTCTGACCTGAAGACTCGACTGGGGAAAGATCCACTTCCACATTCACTCAAATGGTTGTTGGTGGGATTCAGTTTCCTCCTGGGCTGTTGGAGGTCTCCTTCAGTTCCTTGCCCTGTGGGTCTCTCCATGAGTCAGCTCACAACAGGGCAGCTGACTTTATCAGAGTGAGCAAGTGAGAAAGCAAAAGAGTGAGCAAGAGACTTTTCATAACCTTCTCTCAGAAGTGAATCCTGTTCCTTTGCCGTATTCTGTTCGTTAGAAGGAAGTTACTAGGTCCAGCCCACGCTCAAGGGCAGGCGTCTACAGGTGAATATTAGGAGGTGAGGATCCTGGGGAGTCACTTTAGAAGCTGCCAGCCACAAGCACACTGCCACCTCCTTTCTCCTTCTCCTTCTCCCTTGTCACGGTCAGCAGTAGCAGCACCTTTTTCATCGTTGTCATCATCATCACCACAGCCACAGTGATTATTTATTAAATGCTTCTTATGCACCAGAAACTTTCCATTCATAGCTCATTTATCCTTACGACGACCTTATAAGAGTAATATCATCCCCATCTTGCATATGAGGAGACAGGCTCAGAGAGGAACTATGATCTGCCCAGGTCACACAGCCAGTCAGCGGTAGAACTAGGAGTCCCGCCAAGGCCTACTCCAGTGGAGCTCTTCACCTCCCCTCCAGGGGGCAGCGTCGCAGAGGCAGGAGAGCCATGTCTGCCAGCCTGCCTGGAGCCCAGGCTGTTTTTTGCTTTTCTTTAACCTCACTCTGGTGCTGAAAGCTAGGGAGTGGGGCAACAGGTGGTGGGCTGAGCCCCCTCAAAATGCTTGGGCTTTGATAAAGGACGATGGGTGAAATCAGGAAAGATCTGTAGATTAGATAATAGTCCTGTAACAGTGTTAATTTCCTGATTTTAATCATTGCTCTGCAATTATATGAGAAAATGTCTTTGTTTTTAGAAAACACATACTGAATTATTTAGAGGTAAAGAGGTAGTATGTCTACAGCTTATTCTCAAATGTTTCAGAAAAAAATATTTATAGGTGTATACAGATATGTGTGTGTATGGAGAGAGAGAATGAAGATAAAGTAAGTGTGGTAAAATGTTAACATTTGGGGAATCTGGGTAAAGGGTATATAGGAATTCTTTGTACAAATTTTGCAACTTTTTTTGTAAGTCTTAAATTATTTTTAAATAAGTTTTTAAAGAGTACAAGTCTACTCTGGGACCTCTTGAGTTCTATTTGGACTATCAGAGATGACACTATGGGGGTCTTACATACCTCCTTTTGACCCCCAGGTGACCCATGGAACACAGGGAGGGTATAGAGGCTATGAGCAGGACATGGTCTCTGGGGTCAGGCCGCCTGGGTTCCAATCCTGGCCCTGCACCTGTGAAGGTCCCTGAGCTGTGTAAGTGACCACTCAGGGTTGAGTGAAAGGATTTGGTGAGACAAGGATATACCTTGGCATCATGCTTGGCACGGTTCCTGGCCTGTGTTGAGCCCTCCATAGATGTTGTTATTGTTATTATTGCCTCCTCAGTCACCTTCCAAGTGAGAAGTAAGGGCCTGTGTGTGGTTTAGAGACACTGACCTGGACAGTTGTCTTGGTGCCAGCTCCCTGATGTGAGTTTTTGTCCCCATGAAGGCAGGGTGGCCGCTGCAGCAGGTGTGGATGGGCCTGACAAGATGAAAAGCCGAATCCCTGTGGTGCTCCTGGCCTGTGGCTCCTTCAACCCTATCACCAACATGCACCTGCGCTTGTTTGAAGTGGCCAGAGACCACCTGCACCAGACAGGTCAGTCAGGGGCCCAGGTGCAACAGAAGAACTGGTGGGTTGGGCCTCATGGGGCTTTGCTGGCTGCTGCCGTCGTCACATTATTAAAACTGCTCCATTTATTCATTTATAGCATAACTGGTGGCATACATTACAGCCATCGTATATTCCGAGGGCTGACACCCCTTAGCCGTGTGACGTGTACAAGTCATATGCCCGGTCATACAGTTGAACATTTCTCAGGGTCCACCCCCCACTGCCCACCTCATGTTGCCCATCAATGCTAAAAAGACTCTGGGCACTTTGTAGAACCCGTGTCTCAGTCAGGGCTACCTTCCTGGTGCTGCAGGAAGCATTACCTACACGGCCAGAGGAAGAGGCAGCACGTGCCTCTGAGAACTCCCGCTACTCTTCAGGGGGAAAGCAAACATTCTGTAATGGGGACTTGACATTTTCTCCTTTGAGAGAATAGATCTTAGACAATTATAAATTAACAATCTTGTATATAGGACATTTCCGATACAGATGGCATGGCTTTGCCAGAAATATTTAATCAGCTGGAAATATTTAATCTGGGAATGCTTCATCTTCTTGACTTTGCATTTCATTATTAAGAGAGTAAAAGGGCATTTGAAATCTGTATGGTTATTTCTAAGGAATATGTTATTTATATGTTGATCTCAGATATATAGGAATGTATTTATCATGTATTCATGTATATGTTGTGTATTCATATGTGTATTTTGTATTTCTATATTGTTTAAAAATGTTTACCTTTAAGGGCATTGTTTTTACACCAGAATCAATTCCTGTTTACTTTTAATATAGGAAAAAGTATTTGAGTAACATGTAAATCATGTTTTCAAAGAAATTATGTGCAAATATCAGTTTATTTTAAAGGAAATGTCTTTGTTTACAGGACATAATCTTTTTTATTATTCAAAAGTGAAAGTGGGTGTTTATCCTAGGTAAATAAATAGCTCTTACAAAGGCATAAAAAATCCAAACAATGCAGTTAAAACTGATCAGTGAATATTAGTAGGCAATATACCAAAGAAGAAATACAAAAGGCCAATAAACTTTCATTGATTCACCAATAATCAGTGAAAATGCAAATAAAAACATGATAAATACCACAAGGTTGTAAGCACCATGAGAGTGGCTACTGTGGCTGCTTGAATACCACAGAATTGCCACCATCCGTCACTGGGCTTATAGTCGGTGCTCAATAAATATCTCTTGTGGGAGTAAATAGTTTTAACCTATGAGTTTGGCAAAGATTAAAGACTGACAAAATTCAGTGCTGGTAGGAGAGGGAGGGAACTGACACAGATGTTAGAATTAGCAGACAAGGACATTAAAACAGTTACTGTAATTTGGCACCATATGTTCAAAAATTAAGTAGAGACATGGAAAGTATAAAAAGGACTCAAATCAAACATCTAGAGATGAAAACTACAATATGTGAGATGAAAAATACACTGGATGGGAGGGCCGGCCCGGTGGCGTAGTGGTTAAGTTCGCACACTCCACTTCAGTGGCCCGGGGTTTGCAGGTTTGGATCCCGGGTGTGGACTCATCAAGCTGTGTCGCGACGTCCCATATACAAAGTAGAGGAAGACTGGCGTGGATGTTAGCTCAGGGTCAATCTTCCTCACAAAAACAAAAAAACCCCTCATAACTTCTGGTTTGTAATTTCTTAGAGATAGTAGATAACTAATATAATAAACATAAAAAAATTTAAAAAAAAGAAAAGAAAAATACACTGGATAGAATTAACAACAGATTAGACATTGCAGAAGAGAAGGTTAGTAAACTTGAAGATATAAGAATGGAAACTATCCAAAATGAAACACAGAAAAAAAAGAATTTTAAAAAAGAAAGAAAAGAGTATCAGTGAGATATGGGATAACTTAAAGCATCAAATATACTCATAATTGGAAGCCCAGAAGGAAAAAACAGAGGAAGAACAGGAAAAAATATTTGAAGAAATAATCACTGAAATTTGGAAAATTTGATGAAAGCAGGTTTCATCAGCCAGCGCAACAAACAGATCTAAGTAGCTCAGCAAACCCCAAGCATGAGAAACATGAAGAAAACAACACCAAGGTATATGAAATCAAATTTCTCAAAACCAATAATAAAGAGATCTTAAAGGCAGCCACAGAAGAACAAAGATAAGGAGGAGAGCAGATTTCTTGTTACTGAATTTAGCAAAAGGGAATCAAAAGTGGAACAAATCTTTAAAGTACTGAAAGAAAAAAACTGTTAACCTTGGATTCTACATCTGGCAAAAATATCTTTCAAAAACAAAGGCAAAATAAAGACATTTTCAGATATGCAAAGGCTAAAAGATTTCACCATCAGCAAACCTGCACTGCAAGAAATGTTAAAATTGTTCATGCAGAAGGAAAATGATACCAAATGGAAATATGGATCTACACAAGGGAATGCAGAGCACTGGTAACCACATGGGCAGTTATATAAGTTCTTTTTGTTATTATTTAAATTTCTTTAAAAGATAATTGACTGTTTAAACAAAAATAATAATGTATTGTGGGGTTTATAACATATGTAGAAGTAAGATATATGACAACAGAATCATAAAGACTGGGAGGGGGAAATGGAAGAATACTATTGTAAGGTTCTTATACTATATATGAAGTGGTATAGTATCACTTAAAGGTAGACTGTGATAAGTTAAAGATGTGGATTGTATACCCTAATGCAACCACTAAAATAAAAAAGCAAATAGTTATAGCTAATAAACATACAAGGGAGATAAGATAGAATCAGAATATACTCAGTTAATCCAAAAGAAGAAAGAAAAAGAGGAAATGGGGACCAAAGAATAGATGGGACAAATAGCAAATAATAAAATAATAGACTAAAACCTAACCATATCAATAATCACATTAAATATAAATAGTCTCACAACTCCTACTAAAAGGCAGACATTGTCAGATTGGATAAAGTAAGCAAAACCCAACTACAGCTATATGATGCCTACAAGAAACACACTAAATATAAAGACACAAATAGGTTCAGAGTAAAATAATGGAAAACTATCCCATGCTGACACTAGTTAAAAGAAAGCTGAAATGGCTATAGTAATATCAGCAAAAGGATATTTCAGAGGAAGGAATATTACCAGGGATAAAGAAGGTCATTTCATAATTATGAAGAGGTCAATTCTTTAAAAGGAAATAATAATCCTAAACCTTTTTTTCACTTAATAACAGAATTTCAAAATACATAAGAAGCAAAAACTGATAGAACTTCAAGGAGAAATAGACAAATCTACAATTGCAGTCAGATATTTCAATTCTCTTTTCACTTGTTGATAGAATAAGTACACAGAAAATTATTAAGAATATAGAAGACTTGAACAATACTACCAACCAATTTGACCTAGGAGACATTTATAGAACACTCGACCGAACATCAGTAGAATACAGACATTCCTTTCAAGGGCACAGAGAACATTTATCAAGAGAGACCATATTCTGAGCCATAAAAGAAGTCTCAATAAATATAAAAGGACTGAAATCATTCAAAGCGTATTCTCAGACCACACTGGAATTAAGTGAGAAATCAATAACAGAAAGATCTCTGGGCAATCCCCAAATATAGAAATGAAATAACACACTTCTAAAAACTCATGTGTCACAAAAGAAATCAAAATGGAAATTAGAAAATATTTTGAACTGAATGAAAATGAAGATAGAATATATCAAAAATTTTGGGCTATCACTAAAGCAGTACTTAGGGGGAGTTTTCTATCACTGAACACCATATTAGAAAAAAAAGAAAGGTTTCAAATCAATGACTTCAGCTTCTACCTTATGAAATTACAAATAGAGGAGCAAAGGAAACACAAAGTAGCATCAGAAAGGAAATAGTGAAGGTCCAAGCAAACATCAATGAAATAGAAAACAGAAACACATTAGAGAAAACCAATTAAACCAATAACTGTTTCTTTGAGAAAATCAATAATATTGATAAAACTCTAGCCAAACTATCAGCATCAAAAAACAAAAACAAAAACAGAAAGACACAGATTACCATTATCAGGAATGAAAGAGGTGACATAATTACAAATTCTACTGATACTAAAAAGATAAGGGAATATTATAAATAACTTTATGCCTCTAAATTTGACAACTTAATTGGAATAGACAAATGCCTCAAAAGACACACTACCAAAGCTCATTCAAGAATAAATAGATTTTTTAAAAAGAAGAAGAAGAAATGGGTGACCTGAATAGCTCTATATCAATTTAAAAAATTTAATTTGTGGTTTAAAAACCATTCCACAGAGGATTCTGGGAAGATGTCAGAATAGGAAGCACTGAGAATCTGTCTCCCCACCCAGATAGCAATTGCACTGGCGGAATCTGTCTGATGTAACTATTTTGGAACTCTGGAGTCTATTGAAGGCTTGCAACTTCCAGGGGAAGACTTGGGAGGGTAAATCGTGGTTAATTTTGGTCCATTTCAGCTCTTAGCACAGTAGCAGCTACCCACCCCCCTGACCCCAGCCACTTGGCAGGCAGCTGTGCATGTGTTCCTGGAGCAACTTGTACATAGCTTATGGGAGGCAGGTTGGGCAAAAAGGACCCTGTCCTCCAAATATAGAGGATCTGTGCTCTGATGTATGGCTGCTGCCTCTGATCACAGAGGTGCAGCCAAAGAGGCAGGCAGCCGTTATTGTCGCACCTCCCCCCATTGTTGCAAGCCCCACACCCCCTCGCTAAAGTGCCTTCCAAGGGATTCAGAGAACTAGTGCCCTTTCCCTCTCCCTCGTTTTTCTCCTTTTTCCCTTTTTGGGAGCCAGACATTAAAGATTAGGACATTTAAAAACAGCTGTATATATGGGGAAAATTAGAAAGTGACCACACATGTCCAGAGAAAGACTGAGAAAAGACTGAGAAGACCTTAAGTTTATACCTCAGGCTGATCCTTGGCACAGACACAGCCTACAACAACCAGAAAACAGAAACAGTAAAAACAATAACCAC